ATATATATATATAAACAAGATGATTGCACAACTCACGGAGTTGGGCCATGATTTCAAAGGCACACCCGCCCTGCAGTGGATGCGTGAACACACCGAAGTGCCTATTCTAGCGGTAGTCTTTTATCTCGCCTTTGTTTTGTTTGTACCGAATACCATCATGGCCCATCGACCACCAATAAAAATGCGATTGTGGAATATTCTCTGGAATCTCGTACGCACAGTCTTCGCTGTTGGTGGGACTTATTACTGTGTGCCGCAATTAATGGAATGGTGTACGGCCTCTTTGATTCCAAATCTCCTTCCCCGACACTTACGAGATCCGCAGCCAATTGTAGAAGGGAGTTTTTATACATCTATGTGTTATTGGAATAAAGGGATGTTTCTGGATGGCACAGCAGCGATGTGGTTATTACTCATAAATCTTCTTAACTTGTCAGAATTAATAAATACCGTATTTCTTGTTTTTCAGAAGAAACCGGTAAACTTTCTTCATTGGTATTATCATGCTACGGTGTTGCTTTTCTGTTGGCATGCGTATGTGACTCAGACAAGCAGTGGTCTTTGGTTTGCCGCTTTGAATTATTCTGTACATTCCATTTTATATTTATATGATTTTCTCTTTGCTTGTGGACTTGGTAAAGTGATTCGGCCCATTGCCCCAGTTATCTCCGCATTAAAGATTCTTCAAGTGTTGGCTGGTACCTTTATTGTTGTTTACACGGCTGTGCAGCGGGCTGTACACCCTAATGGCTGTGATACCGCTAATAGCAGTATTCTTATTGGATTGTTAATATACGGCAGTTATCTTTTACTCTTCTTTCGTTTCTTTTTACTGCGCTTGTCGCCTCATCGGATATTCTTGAAGAGTCGGAAAAGTAAGAGGCGAAAGCCGTTGGTCTTGCAGAGTATGGTGGGTGTAGTGGATGGGGAGAATCTCTTTGAAATGGACGCTAAGCATGGATTAAGAAAGTATGTGTAGAGTGATAAACAGATGAAGAGAGAGA